GGAATGAACGAGCCTCGAGGCAATAATACTACGAAATGCACACTCGAGCGCGTCTTTGGAGCGGCGATGCATCTCTGGAACGAGGTCACCGTCCGCTGGCGCGGTTATCATCGCGTCGCGTGAATTTCGTCGTGCGCGTAGGAAAGACGAGACGCGCGGGCGGCGGGGCGGGGGAGCCCTCTTCACGCGCAATGACTCAGCCGGTGTATCGATCGGCCGTCGGGAAATAGACGGGCGATCGCGAGTCTCCGGCGGGCGCGCACTGGTTCTCGACGCGCGCACATAGCGGTGGAGCACACCACGGCGACGACCGAGCACTACCTGCGTTGGCGTGCGCGCCTCGACGACGACGACGACGACGACGACGACGACTCGCAGCTGGCCGGGAGAGCCACCGTGGCGAACATCGATCCGCGCCGATGCTCGAGTGGATACTGAACCCTCCGCGCTTCGTGGAAGTTGCTCATCGCCGACCGCGCCGCGCGCATGCGCCCGCCCGCTTCGGCTGTTTCCAAGGCGGCCCGCCGCTCTCGTCACCGATACTCCTCGACAATTCCCAAGAGTGAATCATCCCACGGCGAGGATCAGCTTTCCGCCTTCGCGGACTGTTTCGCGGAACTGCGAGGCCTTGGGCCCTCGCCCTCGCCCTCGACGACCCTCCTCCCTCTCCCCACTTATCCCGATTAGCTCGTACATCAGAAGCTCAATTAGCCGATTGTTTCGGAGGGTAGCTACGACTTTCGACGGAATTTAATTATGTCGCGCCGGCGCCGTGATTGACCGTTTCGCTGCCAAGCGAGAGCCAACCAGCCGGTAGCCCGCGGCGCGCGAGGCTCGGCGTGGATCGTACCCGCGCCTTCGGTTTTCCCATCGATTGTTCGCGAGCCTCGTCGTTGCCTTTCTCTCTCGCTCGAGGATCCTCCTTCGCTGTATTACGCGGGCAGTTTCCAGCGCGAGTAGACTCATACCGCTCTCCGTAATTCTTTTCGCCGACTCTTCCTTGCGGCCGGCGCCGAGGCCAAACGGGCGCGCGCTCGTGGGATCGACAACTTTTGCGCGCGACTTCTTTGACGGATCGGACGGGAGCGCATCGGACGATCCGGAAAGCCACACTTCTGACTGTCTGCCCCGTCGAGGGGACACGCGAAAATTGGGCGGAGCCGTTAACTCTCGCCGGTATTTCCGCGTTTCGCGCTTGCCAAGTCATTCGGCGACACGCCGTAACACCTTCCAGTGCCAGATGGTTTGAGAGCGCGTGGGAGCGCCGCGCGACTCTCTCGCTTTATCCACCGAATGAATAATAATCCTAAAGCGCGCGCCGTGCTCCCAGCATCTTTCGGCACAGCTGCTTTCTTCCTCTATATCTCTTTCTAATTGACGTTCTCCCGCGAGCTCGGCAGCGAGATCAATTAAGACTCGGCCCGCGCCCACGCGCCGCGCAATCGCAGCAAACAATACGACCGGTCGTTCGCTTTGCTAATCTTCCTCTCCGGCCTGGCTAAAAAGCGTGTAAATGAAGACAATAGGCCTCCGTGGATCCTTTTACTTTTTCGCTTCTGCTGCTTTCGCGATAGACCAATAAGTCTTTTATGTTGTAGTTTACTTGGCTTTTGTTCCGGCAAGGGTGGGGAAAAAAATTTTTTTTTTTTTCAGAGCTAGAAAGTTCCTTCGAATTTTTTACCTCGTGAAATTTTACTTGATTTCACTGGACGGCAATTCACTTTTATTGCGAAAAGTGTCGTTCTTCCGAGAAACAATCGTAGACGTCGATTGACGCTACGAACACTAAGGCACTTTTGAGCGATTGCCAGACGAACAAAATACGACACGAAGCAGTGCGACTTTGCAAACAACGATAACAGAGGAAATAAAATCGTTGCCGAATACGAATCTGAGGTATAATGATAAGACGCGAAGTAAGCGTGAGTGAGCCGAATCGAATGACTTGCAAGTGACAGGGCGCCTCGAAAACAAAATATTAGAAATTGACTGGTGAAAAGGAGCTTTGCACAAGTGCGAAAACTCAACGATGCGCGCACGCGGTATTCGGACTGGTACAAGCTTTCCTCCTGCGCGCCCTAGGAGGGAAATACGTAGCTGCACTTTTGATCAAACAGTAATTAGCTAAGCTTTTCTTTGAAGGGCGACATCCTAATCCACTTTAGACTCGAATAAACGGATTAATCCATTTTCTCTCTTGCCCCGCTGTGCTTTTCAGCCGCGTCATCCGTCTGCTCGCGCCGTTCCATTAACTACTTTACGATGACGCGACGACGCCCCCCATCCCTCCGCCGGTACGATGACCCTCTTTCAACGTATCGCAATTGTCAGTCGTTCGCCATAAACAGAAGCGACTCGACTTGCTAACCGTCGCGCGGAGGTGCGATCGATCGCCAGCGAAAATCGACGACGATCGCGAGGGCAAGCCCCGCGTGGGCTTGGCGCGCGTGCGGCCGATCGACGAGCATCGAGCGTCCCGCAAAAACGTAGCGGCGTATAATTTGAACGGATAACTTACCGGTCGTTGACTGCTGCTCGGGACCTATCGCAGCGAATGACGACGACTCGTTGGCGTCGATGCTCGCAGCTCCTGCAAACAAGAAACAAAGTCAAATATTGGCCCTTTCCCGTCCACTGTACAATTAGGTAGCGCCGACGATCGTCCCCCTCCCCCGTCCTAGCCCCTGGGCTGCACTTTTTCGAAGTCGACATCTAGGTCGTCGCGAACAAATAGACTGTGCACGCGTCGGCGCCACGCTTCGTTTCGCGTTGGCCTTCGCGGGAATAACATTGGAAAGAAAAAGAAAAAAAAAGCCTCTCGCGCCGGATCGCTCAGAAGTCGATCGGCGAGCGATACCAGCGCGGTTCACTTACAGTGAGCCATCGCCGCAGGTCTACACGCCGGCCGTGGTGAGAGAGAACGACAGAGCTGCGAGGGCGCAGGCGGAGGCGCGCGATGTGCACAAGGTAGTTGCGCGGCGACTTGTGGCGTGAGCAGGGCTCGCTGCCGGTCTCTTATCCCGGTCGGCCAGCCAATCGTAGCGTCGCGGACGTACACCGTGCCCGTTGCAATTGGTCGTCGCCATGGGTTACCGCTGGCATCAACAATTCGCCCGTGCCGACGACGCGGAGACGCGCGACGTCGATAATAAAGCACCTGCGCACTCTCGTGCTCGCGGCGACGGCGAGGCGCGCTTCGGCTCGCGCCGCCGGCATGCCGACGATCGGCCCGCCGATTTCCGGCGAGGAGGCGGCGGCTGCGAATCCGAGCCGCGCTCGCTCGCGTCGGTCGCGCCGCGCTCGGAGATTCTCTCTCTCGACGGCCGCACGCGAAGGCTGCGCGCCAGAGCGATTCTTTTCTCTCCTATGCTCTCTTAGCGAGAACCGGATTCGCGAGCGAGCTCGCGCCAGAGGCCGATGCACTCCGCCAAGGATACATCCCCCACGCGAGTGTATGTACTTGTGCGAGCTGCCGCCGAGATCACAACGATAGAGAGAGATATTTGATTTTGTGCCGGTTTTTACTTTTAGATGCGCTCGATTTGCGCGGAAATCGCGTTATCAACGCACTCGGCTGCGATGGACCGTTGCGCGGGCGTACGAATCAAATTTGATAGACCGTAGACCCGAAGCTCTCTGCCCTCTCCCTCTCTCTCTCTCGCGGTTTTTTTACGACGTAGCAGCAAATGCATCGCGACGAAATAGGCTGGCGTTTGGCGAGGCTCGCGTGCCATCCACGTTCGCCAGGCGCAACGACGATGTGACCAAAAATAATGAGACCCAAGCCTCCACGCGGCCTTCTCATCCAAGTCAATTAGACGTACTCCGCGCTCGATTCCCATCGGTGGTCGGCAGATTTGCCAGCGCGAGGACGATCGCCAAGTTGCACTCGTTTCTCGCGTCCAACTCGCGCGCAAGTAGCGAACGACGAAGTTATCGGCAGCGAGAGCGCGGCATTGGCAGGCGCTGTGTAGCGCGGCCCCATCAATATTTCAAGTTAGGCGCGCGCGGACGCGTCCCCGCGCATCGATCGTCACTGCTCTCCGCGCGCGCGCGCCCCTCTTGTATAATTGATCGTCGCTGCACGCCTGCCGCGCCGCTCGACGCGCGCGCTCTTTCTTTTCCTCTCTGGACTCTGCCAGTGCATTGCCCGCCTCGGCGCCGCGCATCCCTCGACCGCGCTTCCAAATTGGAAGCATCGTCAGTCCGGCATCACGTTTCTCGACGTCGGCTCGCCCGTTCGGCTGCATCGAATGCTCGAAAGACAAAAGCGAGCTGTCAACGGCAAACTTCTCCCGCAACTTTCCAGGACCGTCCCTCTATTGTCGTTGGCGAGGCGCAACGAAAAAGAAAAAGTACACCGGGCAATGTGTACTTGATCAAGTCGGTTCTGATTAAATTTCACGATGCGCGAGGTTCGCTTAGCTGGAGGAATCGTCGGACGTCGCGAGATTCTTCAGGCCATTGATCCGCAATAGTGCAATGACGCGGAGCTTACGCATGCTTGCGTAATGATATTTCGCTTTTCGAAGTAACTGCATCGGATGAAACGAATTTCCAATTTCCGATGATCGGAAAAGACGGATGAATTCCATGACTCGGAAATCAAAGCCGAAGTTATCTCATCGTCGCTGAAACGACGCTCGATAAAGTGATTCTACTTTCGAAAAGTATACAGTCCTCTCGTTAAACAGCCGATCGAGCAAAGTCGACGAAACTCGTGGAGAGGAAGAAAACTTTCGTCGTCTTATCCCTAAAACTCTCATTGACTCGAAAGTAAATGGAGCCTCGCGTTTGGCCGATAAAAGAGGAAAGGGGAACAATAAAAAGAGAAGAAAGAAGAGGAGTTTCGGGCGAGAAATAGCCACTACACCTGTCTGTCCTATTTTCGTCAAGTTTGTCGGCCTCTCTTCAAGCACACAAGTGGGCCTCCTTCTCTCGTAGCAACACGAGCTCTTTCTTGCCTATGTGACGCGGGACAAACAAATTTTACTCGATTTTAATTGCTACTTACTTTTCTTCGTATTTATAGAGAAGGCTTTCGGAATGCAAAAATATTTAGATTGACAACGGGCTATGTTCCTTTCAAGACGTTCAGAGCGACGATTTCTATTTCAAATTTTCAAAATTTTTATGGGCGGCGAGAGAAAGGTGCTCTACGAGAAGCGTGGAATAAAGAAATTTTGCGTATAGCGTGCTCGCGGACGATTCCTATCCATTCGTAACGCAGATTCTTTTCTCTTTCCCGTCGGAAGTTCAATTTAAACAATTAAATTGGAGAAATTTTGATCGGTTTCGAATACCCATTGTTGCTGCCAATTGAGTGCCCGACGGGACTCGACGGTCGATCGACCTGATAATAGCGAGAGTCAGCTTTCGAGAAATGTCCAATCGCCCTCTCGTTAATTATCGAGGAATTTACACAGACGGCGACCCTCGATAAAACGTCTACGACGAATACGAATCTCTTTTCGGAACGAAAATGCACTGTACGAAATTTTTATTTTCTCCTAGCTGTTACACTTTTTTTTAGTGCCGCTAGTTTCTTCCGCAAGCACGTCGCGAGAGACGCTTATAGCTAGCAGCGGCCCGAGCCTCTCAATTTTTCATCCCTCGGACGTACACCTCGAGGTACTAAAGTAATTAAACATTGACCCTAAAGAAGGAGCTGTCGGTCGGGGACTGTTGACGAGATATAGCGTAACAACTTCAGATTCAAGCTTTCCAAGAGCATCTATTTTTTCATGCAAAAGCTGAAAGATGCCTGTCACAATTTTCCCGGCTTCGAAAATAGAACGACAGCTTAAACATCGCACGTCTTGTCCAAGTATTCTCTACTCTTGTACAAATGAATGAGCGTATTTTTAGTACATGAGCATTGTGTCGCATAGTTTATACATTAAAATCTAAATAACTGAACGCGAGAAGGAAAAGAAAAATTCTCGTCTAAAGCCACAATGGGCAAACTACGGAAGCATAGCTGTGATATTGATTGGTCAAAGAGAGAGAGAGAGAGAGTTCGTCGATCGCGTACTATATCATCTGCATATCGAATTTCGCTATTACATACGACAGGGGGAAACTTCTCTTTCGCTCTCTCTTTCTTTAGATGCATAAGTTATGGGAATCCAATTGCCAGCGAGGGAATATGAATTTTGTAATTCCTTCGACTGCCGACAAAATTATAGACTGCGCGTTCCGTGCGTGAATGCGTGTCTCTGCAGTTGTTATAATGATAATGTGGCGGTCAACGGAGGAATTATTTGCCGCGAGGTAGTCGAGCGTTTAGAAAACAGCAAACGGCTGGTTGCCGCAAATGGCATATAATGTGTCGCGTGAACGTTGCAAAAGTTGACGCACGGTCGGGACGCTCGGCTACTTAGTCGCGCTCGAGAAAGAACGACTAGTTTTGAGCGGACGAAAAAAAATCCGCGAGCTGTCCGGCTCGGGAGCGGCAGAAAAAAAAGGCAACGGGAAATAAAGAGAGCGAGGAGCGAAGACGCACTACGTGTACGTAAAGTGGTCGTCGGCTATAGACGGTCTCGTCCCCTCCGCGGCCATACACGCCAGACATCAATAATTCAGACCCGCGAATCTATCTCTAACCACTGGCTTACCTCCCGAGGCTATTATATAGGGAGGACGACGACGACGGCGAAGGAATAAAAGAAAAACTTTCCCGTACGTACGTGCAGTAATTGCTCTTAATTATAGCCAAGTTTTTCGTATTCCGCATGCACTGCATATGTGTTTCTGTCTCTCTTGTTAAACTTTCAAACGCACTACCCGAATGCTTTGCGGTGTTCCGTACAACGCCGCACGGGCGTTCGGGCGTTTAGCGTAATTATAGGTAGTGCTTTAAACGCACTTCAATATTTAATGAATTTTCTCGAGCGGAAGGAAGTTTCGGTGTGTGCGAGAGAGAGAATAAAGCGAGCTCGAATCGATTATAGATTCGAGTTTCTTGTTGTTGCGCGATCGAAAACACGTCTCGTCAAACGGCATATTTGCGCGAGGGGATGCGACAAAAACTCCATCCCGAGGAAACTTTGGCCTCGCCAAATCGTTGGCGAATATCCGCGAGGTACGTGCCTCGTTACCGCAACTTTCCTTGCGAAGCACACAAGAGAAATGGTTTTGTTATGAAGATGCAGAAAATATTGTGGAATTCACACTTGAAAGCGAGCGACGCTAAGGTTGTAACATCTAACAAGCTATAACTATAGAAAACGTACCGAGAGACTTTCAAAAGTACCGTAATTACTTTCATTTAATTGAGCGCACTCTCATTGACAACAGGACGATCATTCCAAGACTCGACTCTTCGGCCGCGGCATCTCGGTTGTTCGTCTCATCGAGACAACGCGACGATTGCCCCAGACCACGCAAACCTACTAGGCGGGCTTGCGGAGTTGCTCGCTTGCTGTCCTAATCACGAGACAAAGCTCGCTCGCGCAGAAATGACGACCGCGGCAAATCGGTTTATACTCCGCTCGATCGCTAAGTACACCTAAATCAATGCGTCCGCGCGGATCTGCGCGCGAGGCTTCCTCGATACCTTTCGTGCACTGAATCACGATGAGCAGCTTC